AGTCAAGTGCTGCTGAAAATATTGACTTATGTTGATTTATGGCACAAGTGACTGGTTCAGTAGGAAGAATGGCCTACCTTACTGGAATGGTACTGCAGTTTGAGACGAGTTGATGCCGAAACTCAGGGTAATAGTTCTGCTCAGAACAAAGGCAGATATTTCAAGGTCTAGCTTTCAAAATGTCAGAATATTAAAGTTTAGAATTATAATGTAACTAACAAGCAAAAGAGAGCTGAAATATATGTATAGATAAGACTATTTTTTCTTTTTGGCTCCTTTGGCCTTTAATTAGGACTTTATAAACCTAACCCTTGCAAGCAAGATCATTTGTAATGAAAGGGCCTTATTTTTGGCTTTGTGGTTGGGAAGATGTTTGCTACTTCCCTCCTGCCCAGATTTGGTAAGAGTTTGATTTATCAGTTAACCCCACTAAAACCAATACTGCAATTGGCTGGACACTCAACATGGGACGCAGGTACCCAATAAGCCTAAAGATTTGTACCGACTGTCCCTCCCTTTTACAAACACTCTCTGACGAGGCTTTCCAGATGGAAATATGTAGCTCAATTTGAATTCTACACGGTTTCAATCTGGCTTATACCACATAACTTTATTTGTGTTATTTTTGAAAGTATGCAGACAGGAAATGGGAGCAGAGAAAGGCTGCGAAGGTAACCAGGCCAGAACTTGAACCTCTAAAAGATGTGTTAAGGACCAAAGCCTCTGCTCCACCACTGCATAATAACCCAAGTATTCAATGTTTACCTGCAACTGACAGCTTTTTCTGTACATAGCTAAACACAGAAATAATACTTACTTTCTTAAAACTAATAAGGTTCTTTGCTAATTTAAGGTCTGACATTTTAAACCAAAATACTAGCGTTTGTGTAGTCACAAAAACTCTATTTTTTTTAAAGTTTCATTATATTTCATCATTTGCCTTTTAGAGAAAATGTTCACATACACGCTTTTAAGTCATATTGATGGTTCTCATAATCCCTTCTTCTCTTTAGCTTGATTGATTTATTATGTAGTGTAAACAGAATGAATGTTAATCACTGTGGGATCCTGGTCACTGAGTGAAATGCGCTACACCCATAAATGGTTCACAAACAGTCTGTTGTTTCTGATTAAAGTTTACTCCTTCAGCAGACATGAGCTCTCACCACTAGAAAAGAAAACAACAAAAATATGAAGGTTATATTTTCTTTAGGAAGAACAAACTGTTAATGCCAAAACATCTGTACAGAATTTAGGTAAAGACTTTATCTAGGTCACCCCAAAAACGGTACTTTGTTTACTTATTTATTTCTCTTACGTTAAACATGGGTGGACTTGCTGGTATGTTAGAAGGTATTTACTGATTTTCACATCATTCCATATCTGAGATTTAACTGGATTATTGTGGTGAATCATAGATTATTTATCAATTACCAAAGCAGGCTATTTGTTCCTACATAGTGCTGGGTTATTGCCCTTTAGCAGCTACATCTACATAAAAGCTGTAGCTCACAGTCAGTCTTTCCCCAGAATTATAAAAAAAAATGTTTACACTCACCATTTTAAAAACAATCAGCTTTTATTATTTTAAAAAGGTAAATTTTACATTATCAAAGTATGAATTAAATATTAATCCATACTGATGAAAAATAGCAGGCAGTGTATGGGACGTAAAAACACTAGTTCCATAAGTTCTGTTGACCTCTGCTTCGGCCTGCCTTTGGTTCGGCTGCCTTTCGCTGTAAACAAAGCAAAGAGTTTGGACCACACCTAACAAAACAAGGGGGACTTCCTGCCACCTGTTAGAACCCTGCAATGGTTTCTGCAATCACATTTCACACCCAAAAATTTATAATAATTTACAGTTCCCCAAATAGAACCATATTCCATATTATAAGGACAATATAAAAAGATGATTGCCAATGTTTTTAACTTGGAAGGTTTGTTTCTTTGTTTGTTTGTTTTTATATATATATATATATATATATATATATATATATATATATATATATATATATATATATATATATAATTTGTTGCTTAAAAGAATTACAGTAATTGGAGTATAAAATACAAGATCTCGCATTTTGATATGGTATTTTCAGAACGTTTGAAACTAAACTTTTCTAGTCAGATGAAAATCCTTGTTTGACTCCCTTCATAGAAATATCATGAAGCTCTGATTTTTTATATTGTCCTTACATTTAATTATATAAAAAAAAAACAATATTTTAATATACTTTATATTTTATTAATATACAGTATATTAAATAAAAAAGTTAACAATAACTTTCTGAAGTCAGTCAAATCACTGGTTTTAAAGCACACATGCAGGAAAGGCCTTCTGTTGTGGACATATGACTTCCATCTTTCTCAGATATTCCTGTAAAACATCAGCAGAGTCTGATGTGAAACATAACTGGATATAAACATCATATGGTCCATCAGTGCAAACAATCGAGACCAGAGGAAATCAAAGTAAACTTTGTACATTCCAGTGAGGGCACCTCAGTCAACCATACCCTGTCTTCATATAGAGATTTTAATTTTAACAATATTGAAGGATTTTCACTTTGTACATAAAGAGTGTTGATATAGATGTACCAAAAGTGAAGATAATGTGCAGACCTGAGCCTCTGCTCTATATCTGTTGAGTAAGGATGGGTTTCTTTACTGAAACGTCAGTATGTCGGCGAAGATGTCAATCATAATCTAACAACGGTGTAAACAAAATGCTCCGAGGCATTTTAAAAGAAAATATGTTGTTTTCTTTGTGCCATTTGTGATGTCACAAAAAAAGTTTCATTTTGCATTTCAATGTCTTTAAAAAAAAAGCATAAGGTCTTGTTTTCTTCCTCACAGATGCTTTGGTGTCTATATTTTCTTTAATCTTGCGTAATTATTTTTTTTATTATTCACAATAAAACAGACAACATGCTGGCTGAAATGTGAAGAAAACATTTTCCTGCTTTCCAGTTTGATCAATCTCTGAAAGAATTAAAGTCTGTCTTCAAAGCCAATATATTGATGAAAGTTCAGCATCTGTTTTCTTATAAAAAAATAACATATTCTGCCGCTTTAGTTTGTTTTCTGGCTGCTCACAGAAATTTGTCTCCTTCTGGTCCCACAGCTGCTCAATCAGGAAGTGCTTGTGTGCTGTCACACTCACACATATGCTGTTGCTTTCTTTCACTCACACAGACACCCATAAAATCACTGGTACGCAAACATCATTGGCAGACCATCCTGACAACTCGCCTGCCACACTCACACTTTGTCTCCCACTGTTTATCAGACACCTGAAGCTTTTCCTGTCAAATGTCTCGACTTTAGGCATCAAGCACAGCAGAATCGTCTGACGCTGAGTCCCTGTTAACAATAACTTAATGTATTGCCAATAAATACTCTGCTTTCAGCTTGAAGCCTTCGCTCTCCATTATACCTGAGTGGTTACATCTCAGCTACATCAGTGATGCTGCTGATCAGTCGATTCTGTTGCCACAGATCGTGAAGCGGTCAATCTCCAGCAGGTCTTTTTTGGGAGCCCTCTGGTTCGTTTCTGAGGCTTCGTCTGGTTCCTCCTCCTTTAAGGATGAAGCTATTGGTGGCTCAACATCAGACTGAGGTTCTGTAATCAAAGAGGAGCTTGCTGCTGCTGCAGGTGAAGCAACGGTGGTTGAGGAAGGAAACAGGTCAGGCCGTCGGGATGGCTGAGTGGTCACAGATGAGGAGGAGGCTGGTGAGGTGAAGGGTGTGGCAGGATTGGGATCGATGCTGGATTCACCTGAATGATGAAGCATGCAGATATTTAAAAATGTTGTTTCTCTTAAAGTATTTTTTTTTACTGTTACTTTTAGAAGACAAATTCATGTTGTATTAAGAGACTGTCTTTTATCTTAATGCTAAAAAACTGAATGCAAGCTGTAATGATTCTTTTTTTAAGAATTAAAAAATTGCAATGGACATAGCCATCAGCTGACTTTGTACAGGGTTTTTGTTGCTAGGCAACAAAGGCAGAATCCAGCATGTAAATGCATCTGCCAACTTGTTCTCAATAAGGCAATTTAGTGCTATTATGGTGGCTTTATCTACCAATTACACAAAAAAATGGATATTAATAAACCAAACTGCTGCAGCTTACAGCACCTGCCTTAAGATTCAGTGTCCCTCAAGACTCTAGCTATAGCTAAAAGATTAAAAGTTTAATCTTTACAAATCAGTGAGATTAAAGCCTTTCATTTACAAACAAATAAAGCATAAATGTTTTATGTTTTAGCAGATATAATGACTATTAAATTAATACGTCCGGCCACCCAGAGACTTGGAGTGAAAATTAAACCAATCAAAAACAAGCCTGGCAAAGATAAAGCAATTTTTTCCACAACTTCATTCAAATCCACCAATATGGCTGATATACCATAATGCAGTTTAGAGGAAAATAATGGAAATTATACAGAAAACTGAGTGTTCTATAAAACATAGAACAGCAATGGTCTCATTATAAAGAACTGTGTTTTGTTGAAAGGCAACACTGCAAGAGCTATTTCATTCTGAGAGCACCGGGGGCCAAACATTAGGAAAATCAATCCCAGAATAAACAGAATATTTTATATCTGAAGGAACTGAACAAAACTGCACTGATAATTAAGAGGATTGGCAGGGGGACCAATGCCTCCATTCCGGGTGTTTTAGCTTCAAAGCCTCCTGTTCTCATGGCAGACATTGATCTACTTACAATTATATGAACTAACATATAATCATTTGGAATAAAATATGCTGAAGAAAATTGTTTTGCAGTGACTCTAGTGCACTGCACAATAATTATTATGATTAACAAAGAAACAAGATTACTCCAGTCTGGAACTACAGGTAGCTATACCAGGCATTGTGCAGACAAGGAGGATGGTTTTAAAGCACAAAAGTAAGAAAATGGTAGAAAAATCAAAGAAATTGATAAATGTAAAACATTATTTCAAATGTTAAAAAATGTCCTTGTTTACCTGAGGGTTTGGCGCATCTACGTAGGTCAGCCTTGCTTGGGCTCTTTGCTGAGGAGGACGGAGCGGTTGATGGCCTCTCAAACAGTTTGTCCTCCATGTTGGCTCTCTTGACGTACACACAAGACTTCCCCAGCAGCACAATACTGTTTAAAACTTTCAGTGTCACCATCCTGCAATTAGAGCAAAGATGAAAAGAAGAAAATAATCAATCCTATCGTCTTTCATGTGCACAAAATAAATTTTCAAGAAGTTTGAAAAGATATTAAGGTCTTAATAATCTATTTTATAGATTTCAATAATGATCAGTTTCACTGAAATTGCCAAACCAATGAGTAAATATGTTTCTAATTGGAAGCAAAGGTTCCTTGAATTTATCTTCTTATGTTCACAGGAGAATCTCAATGGATTTAAATTTGATTTAAAAGCGTATTAATTAGACACCACAATTCAACCTGGAGAAACTCACAGGGAAAATATGCACATAGTGAATATTAAATTTACTTATTCAAGTAACAGAATCATTGTCTTCAAAAAACCAGCTGACTGCAAGGACTATTGGCTCTTTACAATGCCTCGTACTGAGCATGCATGTAGTGACAGTGGAGAGGAAAACTCCCTTTTAACAGGAAGAAACCTCCAGCAGAACCAAGCACAGCGTGAGCGGCCATCTGCCTTGACCGACTGGGGTTCAAGGAACAGATAAACACATTAATTGATTAATTAATTAAGTTCTTTGGCACTCGGGCCCTGGCAGAAGACTTCAATGCTGTGAATCAACATTCAATTGTATGTGTAACCTGGAAAAAGACTAGTCCTCCCCTAGGGCTGGAGACTGGTGGTGGAATAAGCCAGAGGGTTAGTGGGGCTGAGAATAGTCTGAGAGTGAGGGAGGAGCTAAATGAAGGGGATCATAAAAGATGATTGGCTTTAGAGAAGATGCAGCCCTGCGTTGGTTGGCTGGAGCTGAAAGAGGGACATCGCAGGTGGTTCAGGTGAAGCTGCAGTCCTCTAGATTGAATTTACGCTTAAACTTCATTAATTTCAGATATGATGTATATATACATAAATACATCATATATATACACAAGAACCTTGTTTATACAAATCATATGGAAAAGGACGTGCAATAATAGGTTAAAATGACCAAATATCATAATTTCTGAGCTAAAAAACACACAATTATGTACACTTCAAATAATTATAAACATTAAGAAAGAGAGAATCTGCCCACTGTATGACTGACTTTCTTTTTTCTCAAATTATATTTAAATATTTAGAATAGTTTTGTTAAAAAAACAAATTTTTTAGATTATATTTATTGTTAGAATTTAAAAGTGGATGTTGTATAGCTTGATAACACCAAATGACTTTTGATTCAACCATTCTGTGCTGTCATGGGAATCTATGTATGACATATAATAATAGTGTTATAACATAACACCAAATAAAACAACTCTTTTAGTTTTGTACTTCCATTACTCTGTCCAACTGACTAAATACTACATTATTATGTAAAATGTCGTCCTCTAAAAATCAATTTGTTAACCAGCAACTGCAAAGTAGATAACCATGACAACATCCAATGACATTTTTGATGTATTGTGCAGTTCATTATGATATCAGTGTGATGCTTTCACAACTATGAGGAAGGCTAAACTCATGGTTATTCAAGAGAAAGCACTGACACCGAACAAAAGAAGTGTGATTTATTAAAAGTACTGATGGAATATTGAGTGGAGGAAAACAACTGGTAGAAAAAGGACAAAAAGGCACAAAGGATAACCTAGAGCATGTGTCAAACTTGAGGTTCTCAGGCTGAATTTCCTCTGTCCAGCCAATTTATTTGGCCCTCAAGAGCCATAAAATTGCCAATCTTTTCATAAAATAGGAGCATACTGTAAGTTCTTTTTAAGTATACAATATAGCTAAAACAGCTAAATAAATGTAGGCGAGTTTATAATACCAGTAGTATGCTTTTCTTCTTAAATGGAATCATGAAATCAAAAGTTTGTTTTATACAGCTGCAACTGGCATCTTTAAAGAATTGGTGATGCCAAAGTGGACCTATATAGAGCTAATTTGAAACTGCCTTCTCTAGGGCTACAGCTTCAAACTACTGATTTGGAGTGAGCTCTTCGTCCTGCAGCTTCAGGAGGTACATCTTTTTAAACACACTTGATGCATATAATTAGTAGATTAGCAGAAGTTTGTAGAACTTGACTGTTAGTTGAGGAGAAGGTAACAGGCCATCCACTTAGGTGTATTAGACCAGCAAGAATAGGACTTTAAAAGTCCTGCTTTTCAGGCCTTTTTTTACCCCCCAGAAGTTGATTCACTGTGCTGTGTTTAAATAGCCACACTTGAGACGTAGGCTACAACTGTCTCATCCCTTCTGATTAACCATACCTAAATAAGACAGAAGAGGTGAGTTATCTATGGGGTTACAGTCAAGACTAGGGATCCAGGTTATTGATTAATTAATTTATCTAAAGTCGATTGGCCTGTTCAATACAGCAATGACTGATTAATAAGTGGTTGTTTTCTATAAAACCAGAGTTTTCTCTTTTATCAAGAGGATCTTTCCATTAACATGAGGGGCTAAATATCTTTTTAAAATAAGCTGAATTTAAAGAATTTAAAAAGGAGCAGTACATAACTTTATTTTAAGAATTGTGCCAGCTGATAAAAATTGTATTTTACACATTATGGAATTAGATCTAAGATACAACAAAACAAGAATCTACAGTATTAGCGTAATGGATGAAAAAACAATTAATAAAATATGTTAAACATGATCAGCGAAGTACAGAGATGTAAACCTATCATTAAAAGAGAGGTTATGTCACTCTGAAATGCTGATAGATTATTAACCAATGTGTTTCAATGAAGATGAAGGTAATTGTCATGTAGCTCTATGTTTTTAGCATAAACCAGCATCTAGTTCTGGGAGAGACTTTTTACCATTAAAATCACCTTTAAGTGGGTGGGTTGTATGGTTGCTCTCAGAGGACTTTCAAAAGATGCCGTTTAGTTTTCTATCATCAAATCCTGGCCTTCCAAACAGCAGAGAAGTTGAAGCTCCTCCACAATGCAGCACATGGATGCAATAAGGGTGAAAAATAATCCAAATAATCCTGGACCAGACTCTCCACTAGCATGCCTCCTCTCTGGCAATTCTTCTCTTGCAAATACTAGTGATGCTCAGCTTAGGAATAAAGAGCGGCACCTTATATTGGATGGTGGTAAAATAATCACCACACAAAAAAAAAGACAAAAAATTAAAGTTCATAAGTAATTTAGTATGTAGTAATGTATATAATGCAGCTTTATGATAAACGCACATTTGTAGAATTAATCCCCTGTAAGTTAAATTAAGTTTTAATTTATTTAAATGCACCATTGTCATAGTGCTTTCTTAAAAAAGGCCCAAACCATTGTATACTATCACCACCATAAAAGTCTTATCACTCACACCCGGATGTTGAAGTGCAGAATCCGTCTGTCTGTAGGGCCTAAACTCTGACACTGATGACTGGAAGATGGACATATTTGGGTCTGTGGAACAATGTTCGCTGTGACAGGCCATTTGGTACAGAGACTGTGTCAGCTAAATCTTTGCCCAGGCACAGAGATATGCTCAAACAAGGTCTATTTTTAAAACCAAAGGAAAAGGAAGGCCAGAGATGACACAAGAGATGACAACATGGTGTTCTTCTCCCTCAGGTCAATTCTTCAATAGTAGGAGCCCAGTGGGAAGGCAGCAAATCCACTAACACCACGAAACTGACACAAAGTGAGGCTACAGTAGTGATGCTTATATAACCAAGAGATTTTAGAGTTAAATATGTTGGTGTGACTTCATCTCATAAGGAATGTCACAAAAAATACATTTGATTCTATAAAGATTCAGTTACAATTTCAATAATAAAAAGAAAAGTTTATTACAGTACTATGTGTTGACTTCTTTCACTCAAAGGGCGTAAACTGCCCACTGATTTAGGCAATAAGCAAGTACATGTGAAACATAAAAGATGAGAAGAATTAGTGAAGCAAAACTCCAGGCTTACCCAAGATAAAACAGGAGCACGCATGTGTATGACAGAGCTCCCTGCACCTTCAAAGAACTCATCACCACTCGGATAAGCTACAAAAAAAACAGGAAGACGTTTCAAAATCTTAGTTTGTTCCAAAATACAATCTAAAACCCAATCAGCACCTACTGTAGGATTTAAAAGCTGACCTTACGGGTTGTTCTCAGAATGGGTAGTCAGGTGTCATGACTTAAGTTCTGTTTACAGTTACTGAGCTGTAACAGATTGCTGTCACTTACCAGAACAGCTAACGGCAGAGGGATAAAGCCCATCCTCCGGGCCACTGAGTCACTGTAGTCGGTGTAGGCCTGCACAGTCACAGACAAGGTTATAGCTCTAACATATGAAACTATTGACAGCATGAGCTTTATGATGTTAGTAGGTTGTGATAATAAAATTCTAAATACTGACATTAATATCCAGAAAAAAAATCAGTATTGGATACCATTTTTAATACAGTGGGAATGAAAACAATGAGAAATGATTACAAATATTTTTACTTAAAGGAAAAACTCACCTTTTCTATCTCATTATGGAACATGCTTTCTCAAAAGATGGTAGTTAAAACCATCCAAATTACAGCAAATAACTCAAATGTAACACAGTTGGACAGTTTTTTAAGGATCCCCGTTTATGGAATAAATGCTGCACATTAGGGAGAATCCTTCATTGCCAAATTTTAAAAAAGGGCTCAACTTGCTTTTATGAAGTGGCTTTTAACACTGGCAGGACTTACAGTAGTTGTAGTGACGTTTTTTTTTACCCTAAACAGATTTTTATTATTGCTGTTTTAAAGCGCTCTTCACATAAAGTTTATGATGATGATGGTATATTACCATGACAAATTAGCAGTGTATCCAGGTGCATCGTTTTAGCACAAATACATTCTGGAGAATCAATCTTTGACAGCCATAAATGTTGCAGAACGATATAAGGACAAATAAAATGTACATACATTCTTTTGTCGGCTGCTGACAAGATCGAAGGCCAGGCTGGCTCTGTATTCACTGTACACCTGGAGGACCCAGTATTACACGTGTTTGTTTAGAAAAGTTATAAAGTTGATATGTAGAGTAGTTATTCTGCCTCAGGCTTTGTCTTACATCTGCTGTAATATCATTGAATTTAGTGATGAATGCATGTTTAATGATGTCAACTGCAACTTCAGACATGACCACCATAAGTACGTCAGGGCACAGCATCCACAGGTGGTCTAAGGAGAAAAAACAATGTGTTTAAGTAAATATAAGGCTTTGGTATCCAAATGTAGAGCATATCATAAATACAAATAAGTACAATTTTTGGTAGAACCCAAACATTGCTGTCAGGATATCTAAATAAAAAAACACTGATTCTCACCACTCTAATTAAATAAATGACTGCTACTTTAAGGTGTTCAAAGGTCAGCTGTCATAGTTCGCATGGACCAAGACTGGCAGGAGAAGCAGGGTGTTTTCAGAAAGCTGTCAACAGTAACACCCAGTTCTCATCTCTGACTTAACTGCCTCGTTGAAGGAAGACTCTGGGAAAAAAATCCTCCAAAGTACTACAGCGGGTCAGCAGTGAGAAAAAGAAAGGAACTTCTCAGCATTACTGTCAGATTTTTGTTAAAGGCTAGCACCAACTGGGACAGAAATACTGATTCGGTTTTATATCTGTGGCAGAATTTGAAAGGGTGCTGCTTTTGTTTATCTTTATTGCGCTCTAAATGTTAATGACATGTAATTTTAAAAGGGAACACAAATAATTACCTGGGTTCCATGAGAACTGCTCCATATTCCTGAGACAGACGATGAGGAGGAGAACATAGCTAGTGAACCGTTCTTTTATATCTGCAAGAATAATTAAATGTGTTAATTATGTAAAAAAAAAAAAAAACTTGTAATTTAGTTTATTTTTCGTTTGCACACAGTGGTGTCAGAGTAAGGCAGATCTTTTAGTTATCAGGCTGCTCCCCTGTAGAACCAACGACAAATTTTAGTCCGTGAAGCAGACACCAATTCTACTTTTAAGGCAAGGCTTAAAACTTTCCTTTTTGATAAAGCTTATAGTTAAAGTGTCTTGTGCTACTATATATAGAAGTTATGCTGCTTTAGGCTTAGACCACTAGAGGACCCCTTTCCATCATTCTGTTTCATTCTATTTCTATTCTACTATTTTGCAGTATTTGTTAGTTCAACCTCTAATGTTTTGTTTGCTTTTTTTAATCATAGTAGCTTTATCTGGTCTGTTCCTGTTTGGCTGTGACACCATCCTGGAGACAAATATCAACTGTGCTGCTGCCATCAACACCTTTGTAGATGTGGGAGCTTGGCCTGTTTTTCAGTGTAGTCCTGTTTCTGTGACTGTGACTAACTGTGTGTGCTCTCTTCATCATCGGATATTCTGTATGTCTGCTTTTGTTTTGGCAGATGGACACTCACACTGAACCTTATTCTGCTGGAGGTTCCTTCCTGTTAAAAGGGAGTTTTACTCTCCACTGTCGGTATAAGCATGCTTGGTGTGAGGGATTGCCGTCGAGTCAATAAGACGATGCAAATCAGCCTGTTTTCCTTAGATCAAAAACTAAATCAATCTGACTGTATGATCTGGTTGAATTTTCTGTGTAAAGTCCCTTTAGATGGCATGTGTTTTTAACTGGCGATATATATATATATATATATATATATATATATATATATATATATATATATATATATATATATATATATATATATATATATATATATATATATATATATATATATATAAATAAACTGCATCATTTTGACACCAAAAGCTCTTTTTTATGAAACTACAGGTAGTAATTCTTCAAGCCTTATCCAAAGCCTTGCAGATCTTTCATTTTTGGTTTTGTTGTTTTCAGGAAATTAATAAATCCTGCTTCTATAGGTCCACTGTTGCAGAATTTCTACTGTTGGATGGACGGGTAATAACTTTAATCGCATGCATGGATCTGCATGCTAGCTTGAACTCTCTTCTGTGTGGCAGCAAACACACTTTAAATGTATTATGGCCACCCAACGGGTTGCAGTGCAGAGGTCAGTGTCAATATATTGTGACCAAAATTCAGTGTGTGAGCTGAAAATTACATTTTGTAAAATTGCAGTTTTATTGCAAATGCAATTAGGGGCCAACAGGAAGAGGGCCTCACCTTATGAGACAAAATGGTATAGCATGCTCACACACACTCTCAAACACCTTAGAGCTTTTTGGACAGGCCAGTTAATCAGCATATGTGTCTTTGGAATGGAGAAATCCCCACTAAAATGCAGAAGCTGACACTTCAACTCAGGACCTTTTAGCTGTGTGGTAGCAATGCTTACCAATCAATTACCCCAATATTAAAGCTGAACTGTTTAACTTTTAATCCATATATTAAACAATTTATCAGGTCAATATATTCTGTAAAGCACTTGGCTTGTATGAATGCTCTGAGCAGGCTGCTCTAGTCAAAGCCTTGCCAAAGTAACTTAAGAGGATCGAAACCTTTATGAGACCCAGACCCTTGCCTTAGAGCAGTCCGAGCTTCCCTGAAAAATGGGCTAGCTGAGCTAAAAGTTGTTAGGCTAAATAAATATGACACTTACCTAATCAGACATATTTTTATGTAGGATTTAACCTAAAGGGGTAAATGTGTTCCAGCCTTTACAAGGAACTGCGTTTCTTTTTAATATGATGGTAGCCTTGTTAACAGGGTCGCTTTAAGTATTTTATGCTTATTTAAAATATTCTCAAAAATAACCTGCATAGTTAATGAGACTTGAACCAGCTCAGTCTCTTCTGACCTCTTTTATAGATATATATCTTATGCTAAGAATAACAGAGGTAAGTGAAAACCGATATTTAATGGACTGAAAAACTTACCACTGTTAGACATTTGGAATAAATTGTTCTTCTCAAATTTCTTGAAGACGCTTCCCTTGATCTCCACAAACTGTGACACATCAAACACACAAAAGCGATCATTAAATATACTTGTAAAAGAATACAGCAATGTAGCTGCAGCAGTGGGATTCAATGCTTTATTGTTGAATACTTTTAGTGCAAAGGTTATTTGTTATCCTTTTTGAATGTAAGAGTAACTGAGGTAATATTTAAGTAGCTACTTCTGCTTTAGTATAATGTGGTTTAGTGACACGTATCTGTGTAAATACTGGCTTGTGTGTGTGTGCACTGACATTGTTGGACATCATGATGGTAAGCAGAGACTTGTTATGTGAGTTGAAGGCGACATTGAGGGTGGAGGCTTGCACCATGATGAGGATGGAATGAAGGACTGAGGAAGAAAGACTCAGGAAAAAAACAACTTTGAAAATGAAAGCATATATCTCAAATTCATTGATGACCGAAATTAGGTATAACACCTCTAAACTAAACATGTTGACAAAATCCAGTTGCTGTAATAATGAATTTAAAATTATTTTACTGAAGGCTCAAATGTTAAGGCTACACACAAATAGCTACGCCAATTAAGCATTTACTTTCCTGTATTTGGTATCCCTTGTTTGAAAGATTGACAGGCAAGTTTAAAATATGGCTAAATGCCCAGCTTATGTCTGTTTATCTCTGTTGCTTAAAATAAGAAAACATAGGTAATAATATTTCTAAAGAGTTTGGGTTTATCACAAAGATAAAACGGAAGGATACAGACATAAAAGACAGCCATAAAAAAGTGAGGAATGACTCCTATATTATCTCTCTTCCGCTCTTTGGGTTCTGTGGCCGTCCAGTAAAGCGCATCCAGGATGTCTTGACCAAAGGACGAGAAGAGGCGATCTGCAACCTTACAATTAAAACATAGGTTGGAGAATAAATTACTCTTGCAAAAAAACTGTGAATGTTACCTTGAAGGTATCAGCTGGTGAATTATTAGTGTGTATTAAAGCATCTGCACTAAATCAATTCTGACTTGTAGAACATTGATATAAAGTGCTTCAAAGGCTGAAAACCAGAAGGAACTACAGTCTGCCTGTGATAGTGTTCATTTTCACCCTGTAGGATTTGTTTAATTGAAGTATACAATTGTTCTTTTTTATGTTTAAGAAGTTTACATGGCTAAGCATGACTTGCTATTAAGTCATTAATCTTATGCGTGGTTCACACAGCCGGATTTTGAAATTGTCAGTTGATTTTTAACCCTGTAAAACGTCAGACATGATGATAAAAACAAAAATCATAGACCTAACAGGCTTGTTACTAGTGCTTGGCACACAGCCAGATGGAAGACGCACTCACCAACAGATCTCCCTAACAAACGTTTAGATGTCAGTTAGGAAATCTCATAAAACATCTTGAGATTAAATGTGTTTTATTACACAATAAAAGGTCATATTTATGAGTGTTAACTATATATTTACTTTAGATTATGATGACATTGTCGACATGAACAGATTCTGGGCCAATATGATTGGTAGGTTAAAATCAGGTGAGAAAGAGCTCAGGCACTGCAGATGCTAATAGTTCAATGTTAGAGCTCAGAAAAGGTGCCATCTCTCTTTTCTCCGATTCAAGCCAAGAAAAAAAAAAAGAAGCAAAACGAAAGTGAACATCGGCCAAGCTTTTGAGCTTGGGAGCCGACTGAAGAAAGCAAAAGGGTTTAGAAGCCAGACAGAGGTTACAGCTTTCTTTCTGAACAGGAAGGCTAAATAGTTTGCTAATGCGTTTGTATTGGCAGACGTGGCAAACGGCTTGAAAACTGTACAATTAATGGTTGGAAGGAGAGTGGATGCGGGCGAATGTCCAACCTACTGGCTCGGAGGATTTAAACTTGTAGCCATCTTCTTTAAAACTCCCAATAGGTTACCAGGCCAGGACAATTCATTAAATAATATCAGCCCATTAGAGGTCCAGAGGATATCAAATGTCCTTCCAAACAGACAAAATTACTGTGCAAACACCACACAGCAGAAATATCTTATCATTTTATCATGAGGGCTATCACGGTTACAATCGCAAGATTGTAGGAAGTGGAGAATCAGGGCAAAGGTTGCCATTTTCATTTTGCTCTGTGAACCAGGCATTATTTTCTCGTTAACTGTTACACTACTGGAGAGCTGCATTCATTTTTTTATCTATCCACTTGTAAAAGGATACTCTTGTTGACAAGCAACCAGCAGTAGAGTTTTGCAGAGAAGCCTGTGGCCATTATCCGACACCAGTTTTTCTTAAACTCCATAAGTCTGATAATTTTATTGGTCCTATAAGTTTGATAAAGTCTCCCTGAAAACAAGTCACTTTTCTTTTGAAGATCTCAACTAAGGAAGCAGATCTTAAACTTAGTTTTTTAAGATATTAGATGTAAAAAGCCATTTAAAACTCTTCTTTTGCTTCATTACAAAAACTAAAACATTGCCATTTCTATGTCTAGCTGAAGGGAATACAAATTCTGGTGGACATGACTCGTTGGCAGGTTACTTTGTCAGAATCACCCACCGCTTACACACCTATAGCAGTGCTTCTACATCACATATGCCTAGCATTTAGCTACCGGTTAGTATACATTTATTTTTCTAAGTTAATATGTAGGGTTAATGTGCTAGCCAGTGCCTCTGTGACTTACCTTTCACCTGACTGAGAGTGCAGACTCTTCCATTGCGAAGAGGCAAATCATTTTTCTGCATAATTTACAGTTTTCCAAATGTTGGTTTGCTTCATTTTCAACTCATGGTCTGTATTTAATATTTTACAGCTTTTAAAATGACATCCCCCAGTATGATCGGAGCTCTGTCCACTTGGGAGGGATATCGTTATGAAAACATACTAGCATGACACTAGCGCAAGCTTTGTCTGATGTGTAAGGGGCATCAGACAAAGCTTTAAGTTAATAGATTTCTATTTGTTGTGAAATATGGCCCAACAAGAAAAGTTTGGGAACTACTGGGCAATATCAAAGCATCTTTCGGAATTAATACAAGTGATTCAGAATCTTTAAACACAGCCCAACTGAGAAGCTTCCCAGATTCCCTTTGTTTTCCTGTGTGTGTGCAGTGTAGGGTACCTCCAACATGTTGTAGATGATGTAGAGTTTAATAACAGACTGTCCTCTGATCAGGTGGTACATCATGGAGTAATCCACGTAATGCATCATGGAGAAGCACAGCACCAGGATCAGCCCCTTCAGCATATCACAAACTTGTGCTGGCTGCAGCAACCGTGACCCACTGTTCACAGAGAAAGGAAGGCAGTCAGAAAGCTCATCGTCTATTTCCTCCACTGACACGGAGACATGTGTTATTTAATGCACTGATGCATGCTGAGCTGCAAGCTGCTCTGTATCTCCCAGTATCAAACATGCATGAGGAAATGTATTCACACCATGGTGTAAAGTGTACTGACAAATTTTTTAAACTAAGTACTAACATAAAGACATTTCCGACTGTTTGAAGATTCATGCACAGATTTTACCCCAAGCCGATACTTTGCAGCCATATGGCACACAGTAAACCAAAACATTGATGGACAGACAACAGACCTCTACCAGCCTCGCCTATTACTGCAGGTTACTGAGGCTGAATGATCCCAGATTATAATCTCACAAGACGTTACAAAGAGATAACATAGACAGGGGGAAATTTCTCTTCTCAGTTCAAAATTAGATAAAATGAGGAGGGGCAACAACAGATGATATCAACCAGCGCACAATATGAAATATTAAAGATATTATCTCCATTATAACACATTTATCTTGGAAGCCAGCTTTCCTTTTAATATGGCGTTTTTGAAATATGTCTTTTGTCCGTTTAAAGTACATGAGTATAAATAAACCCAGGCTGCTCTTATCTACCAAACAGCCCAGCAGTATCAGCGCTAGGAGCCTCGCTCTTTCTTCAAATATTACAGTTATAATATAAAATGAGATTCCACATTTTGGACAGAAATGTCTAAAACAGAAAACAAACACCATCAGCCGTCATATCCAACAGCAACATCAAGAAGCGTCTTCCCAGGGTAATAAAGTGTGTCAAACATGCAGCTTATTTTATTAATATCTGCGCTTGGCAGGGGCAGCTGTGGAGCACGTTAGGAGGAAAGCTGACAAATCCATAGGAGCGGTTATTTAGTTACTGTGACAGAGGCGACTGGAAAGAGCTGAGGGGAGATTAATCTGAACACTTTCTGCATATTTCCAATGTCAGCTGTGTGTCTGTATCTTAGCCCGCAGAGCCAGTCTCTTCTTCTTAGACATTAACTTCTCAATGGCGACGAGTTTATTATTCTAGTTATTTAATTACATACCATTAAAAAGAAATGTACCTTTAAAGTGCTGAGGGAGTCTCAATGCCATCCTGCTGGCTGTATTAAGCTCTATTCCAAAGTTAAAGACAAAAAATCTTTGTTCTTAATCAAAAAAAGTGCAATATTTAACTGCTATTAGAGACTACTCTAACAGGCCTTGTTACCTTTACTGACTTGAGTTTGCAGTTGATTACTAACAACAGAAAAAAGGATAGAGGAAACAAGTTTTAGGAGGTGAGTAATGGTGAGGCTTTACCCCTACAAATCTGAACTGTTATTGAAGCCGACACAGATGGAAAAACGGAAAAACTAAAAAAAGTGCCTCACAGCAAGTAAAACAGGCTTATCATTAGCATCACTATGTTCTCTGAATGCACAGCTGAGAAAAGGGCGCTAAAGCAAAGGCACTGGTTGATCATCAACAAATCCTGAACGTTTTTGTTGTAAAGTAGACTTCTGGCGCTATACCACCATCCAGTGGTCAAATGTGAGACGTTTTAATACATCACATACATCACACACATTAAATGGTGCATGCCTGCATCACTTCTCATCACCATTTGATCCAATTATGCTAACAGCCAGAATTATTCTGACTTATTTCAGATCCAACTTGCCATAATGATTTAAAAGGATTTCAGAACAAACCCAAAATTTTAAGATAAGCTCTAGCTTCTTTGAAAAACACCACCTACAGTACATGACATCACAGAATAAATCAGGCCAGATTACAGTTCTTCTGATAACATCAGTTAAATTTTCTTTCAAATTATTATGTTTTCATTTATATCCCCCTTTTAAACTTGTCTCCATTGTTACACGTATAAATAACTGTCCTACCTATAAAATACTCTTGGTTTCACAGTCAGTAGAGCCAAAACCATCAGCTTCAGTTCAGTTAAATCCACAAAGACAAAAGATTTAATGAAATCCTGCAACTTTTTTTAACCAGTGATGGGCAGGTTATTTAAAAAAGTAACTACATAGTTATAGTTACTAGTTATTTCTCCAAAAACTATATGAGTAAGTAACTCAGGTATGTCTCAGTGAAAGTAACTAATTACTAGTCAAAGTAACAATGTGTTTACATTTTATGAACTAAAGGATCAGAGAATTTTCAAAACATACTTGTTATTAGAATTTTAAATACAGCTAGAGGTTCAATTATAGAATATAAGGCGTTTGTTATTGATTAATAAATACATATATTAATTATCAGTATAGCCACAAGAAAGCAGAGAACATGTGCAGCAGCTGTCAGTCAGCATTAAGATGATGTGTGGGGCTTTTTTAAATTACAGCATCTAACCAACATTTATAAAGTCTGTGTTAACAAACATAATGAGCAAATCACAGGAACGTTCAGCAGCACTTTTTCAGAACGCTGTTATTGAATCAGCGTCTCTGTGCCATCGTCTTCCCTCTGTGCTCATGCTGAAGTTGCCCATAGCTGTTGCGTTTTCCAAGTGCGCTTCCACCAGAATACTGTAGTCCTTACTTATATAAGGTAACAAATATCAAATCTGATTAAACTGTAGAAATGAAAAGGGATTACTGTCTTTTACAATCTAATTAGTTACAGTGCTAGTTGCTGCAAAAATAAGAAATTTATGTAATGCGTTGATTAATAACAATAATGGTAACATAGTTCCAACACAGATTAGAACTGGAATAGTGATAGTTATATTTTTTATATTTCTTTTTTTTATCATTTAAAAAATTCGGAATGTTAGAATTTCTACAAATAACTGAAGTAAAACATTTAAGTTATTAAAGTTTAAAGCAACACTGTAAATGTTGACCCCGGGATTAGCTTACTATGTAATAATCAGTGGTGTCAGTACACACATTTGTTACTTAAGTAGAAGTATAGATACTGCAGTTTAAAAACAATCTGGTAAAAGTTGAAGTATTAACTTGACCTCTTTACTCAAGTAAAAGTGAAAAAGTATGTGCTCCAAAAACTACTTAAAGTATAAAAGTTTAAAGTAACCTCTAAAAAGAGCAGCCAGATGCCACTATATGAATTGAAAGCTCAATTTTTCAACAATTTCAAAAAATTATCTGAGATAGGGCCAAGGATGAGGGAGGTTTTGTTAGTCTCCGTCTCCCAATACACTCTCGTCTGTGTCCGACCTTTCAACATCTTTTTCTGAATCCAACATTGTAGCATGGCATAGACAATTCACGTTTGCAGTGAGAAGAACACCTGCTTGCTTCTGATGATTTCCTTTAGCTACCCATTGAGTGCGTTGTATGACTCATCCATTTCCACTAGTTTTCACTAGATGTGGATGGCGCCAATGATCTGCATTGGATGGCGCACATGACGTGAAATAATAAGTGAATCATGTGACCCAAAGCGCTGTTTACTGCAGTCTATGCTCACCAAAGGAGAGACAACTAAGTCTAGCGCCCCAAGTGGCTAAAGGTTGCAGTGTTGCTTTAATTTCAAAGGAGATGCTTAAAAAATTGGACAAATGTTGGAATCTGCCAACATCAAGCAAAAATGCTGGGAGATTCTAAACTTCTTCCAAATAAAAAAGGAAAGTTAATTTAAGCCTAATTTAGGAAGGTGGTCTAATTAGGTTTTTATCCAAGTTCGAAACTTCTCATTCAATAAGAAATCTAAATCCCTCGACTAAAAAGAGGTAAAATCAGTCAAAATGCAGCTGGTTTAATACTGAGATAATTTTTAGACAGACTCTTCATTCTTAGCACATAGACCCAATACTTTCAAGTAGGGATGGGGATCGAAACCCGGTTCCATCAAGGACCCGGTTCCACTTTTTTCAAAACCCGAAAATCAATAATGTTTGGGCTTATCGATACCACTATCGAGTCTGGTCGTTTTTTTTTTTTTCTCCCGGAGGTCCTGTAACATAATTGTGTGTCCCTCGAGTCGCGTCACAGCATTTAAATCTAATCAATCCAATCACTGCAGCATGTACACCAATGTTTTGGAATGAAATTGTAAGCAAACAGATATTAAAAGTAAAACAAGTGAAGTCTGGCAGTTAACTTTGCTCGCGACTCGAGAATGGCTGAACGGAAAAGACTCCTCCTCCTCCTGCTGCTGCCCCGCCGCACCACAGTCGGGCCCATCTTAATCATCCACTCAGAGTACCACTGGTAAGCGCGCACACAGACTTTGTAGCTTGACCTGTCAGTTAAAAATAGTAATTGTGAAATCCGTGTTGTAATCGGCAGCATACAAGCTAGTTAGCTTGAAAAGTAAATAAAGTTTCAGATGTGCTGCATGATGATGTGTTCAGATTGGCTCAGTAAAATGACAATTAGGTTATCATGATGCGTTCAAGTGTAACGTAAAGAAAACGGGAAATTTTGTTTTTGGCGAGAAACATGAGTAATACAGTTGTACATTGCTCTATATATAATTAAACTACTGATGCCAACATTTATCAAAAATTACATTTAATTTAAAATACAATTATTTATTTGTTAAATATTCTCCTAATCACTAAAAACATGATGAAAAGTGACAGTAGACAATACATTAACCAACAATTGTGAAAATATATTCTAGTTAGTTTTATGTCATTTCGAAGTGGCCTATTACATTAGCCACGTTTATTGAAGGCTAGAAACGTTTTTGTTATGCTCACTTGTTAAGCAATAAAAGCAATACCAGTTCTGTTAAAAAATATTGTTGCATCGTCTTTCCACCAAATAACAGAAAAGTATCGATAGTGGTATCGATAAAGACTCGGATCGATAGCGGTGAGGTAGGACTATCACTAATAATCGACACAGGGGTAAAAGTGGCCAAACATGCTCAGCATATCTTTACATCAGACAAAAAAACAACAAAACAAAATGAAAACTGACCTGGAAGATCATAAAATGATGTGTAATATCAGACTGTATCTTAACAAACAAGTATGGAGATGAATGGAGACGAGGACTTGACGGGGGCCGGTTTCAGAACGATAATAGTGTTTTAAACAGCCACTATAGGTTTGTGGGAGCATACCTGCTTCTTTTGCAGTAGGGGCATGTGCGTGCCCTGCAGGGGAAGCAAAGTAAGGGAGAGTCAGGTACAGAAGGGAAAGGGGAGGGGGGGCTAGGTCTCTCCTGAGGGGGCAGGTGAACATTTGTCCTCATGCATTGGTGGGCACACTCCCACCAATTAGATAGCAGCTAAAACCAAGGCTCTTTTTCTTTTGTCATATTTGGATCCAATCACAACATTCACAACAACAACTTGCAACATCCAGCTGTGTGTACACACAACAAAACATTGTTGATGTTGTCGTCCCACAAATCTACTTTCTGTTTACTGGACAGGATAAGCTCGGGTAACGCAGTGCTTTCTGGTAAGCAGCAGTAACACACTGAGAAGAACTTAGAACAGACCAGACTTATTAACCTGAAACAACATTTGACAGGCTGAACCAGGCTTAAATCGGTTTAACCTCTGGTCAGTTTTAATATTTCTTCATTAGTAATTAGAGCAATCTATTCAATTAGCAGAACATTAGTTACTGAAGCTCTTTTAGGTTAGCTGTGTCCACCACTATCCACATTTGTGAGATAGCCTGGACTATAATCAACTGTACACTCTCAACCACATGCCTATGTAGCATGTCAGAGCTTTTTAAAAGAAATGCATTTTGAAGATACAGTGAGGAAAATAAGTATTTAAACACCCTGCTATTTTGCAAGTTTTCCCACTTAGAAATCATGGAGGGGTCTGAAATTGTCACCGTAGGTTCATGTCCACTATGAGAGATATAATCTAAAAAAAATATACATTTTTTAACTAATTATTTGTTTGATACAGCTGCAAATTAGTAATTGAACACATGAGAAAATCAACGTTAAGATTTGCTAAAGTAGCCTTTGTTTGCTATTACAGAGGTCAAATGTTTCGTGTAGTTTTTTCTATATTGGGTTTAGGTCTGGAGACTGGCTACTGCTTCTTCCAGAACCCCTCCTTGGTTATCCTGGCTGTGTGCTTCAAGTCATTGTCATGTTGGAAGACCCAGTCTCGACCCACCTTCAATGCTCTAACTGAGGGAAGGAGGTGATACCCCAAAATCTTGCAATACATGACCCCGGTCATCCTCTCATTAATACAGTGCAGTTGCCCTGTCCCATGTGCGGAAAAACACTCCCAAAGCATGATGCTACCACCCCCATGCCTCACATTGTATGGATCACTCTTTGGTCTTGGCCATGTTAGTAGCTGGATTCTTCTTGATTGTATGGGGTGGACAGGTGTCTTTTTGCAGCTAACGACCTCAAACAGATGCATCTAATTTGGGATAAATTGGATGCAGGTGTTCAAATACTGATCTGCAGCTCGATCATACAAATAAATAGTTAAAAAATCATATATTGTGATTTCTGAGTTTTCTTTTTTTAGATTATGATTATTAACAGTGGACATGCACCTACGCTGACAATTTCAGACCCCTACATGAGTTCTAAGTGGGAGAACTTGCAAAATAGCAGGTTGTGCAAATACTTCTTTTCCGCAGTGTAGCAGTTTTTCAGGCAAGACCAAAAAAAAACAAAAACATTGAGGAGTAGTGCTACTATTAAAGCATCTTCTAGTACTGATCATCATTCCTTAGCATTCTCTACAACTTCTATGGTTTTGAGGGGCTGTAAGATAAAGAATTAATACATACAAACCACTCAAGTTTTCTCAACAAACATGATGTTAGAGAATAAGCAGCTTTTATTGTGGAGTGAACTTGTCTGCAGATATATCATATTTTAGCAGATGGTGACAGCAGTGTAGGTCTTCAGTCTTACCTGAAGCCACAGCATGGTAGAGTGAGGAGGCGAAGCAGAGCTAGCAGCACCCTCAGGGGCAGCAGGGTGAAGATGTACAGGAAGGCATCAGCACACAGGAAGAAGCCAAAGATCATCAGCTGGAACAGACAAACAAACAGCGCCGTGCCAAACAACAGCTGTCAGTGAGAATGGAAAACCCTACCTGTGATCATTAAAAGTGTCTGAAATTATTTTTTTTACAAATCAGGATTAAATCTAACAATGCAGCAAACATACCCTTATAAAAATGTCTGAAATCTTTAAATGTATACATTTGATTAGAATTAGTTTATCTCAATGTATTTCAGAGACTGAGGTCAATTTGCATACAGTACATCATGCTTTTCATCATTTTAAATTACTATTAGAAGAAGAAGAGGTCCATATATGTCCTTTAAAGATTGAGACATTTGTAATGTTGTTAAAAAGGTTCTTTAAAAGTACGTCGAAAGAAGCACAAAATAATAGATCCAATCAAAATAAATAAGGTGAAAGTTTGAGGAAAAATTTGGGAAATATTTGCATTTCATGAGTGCCACCAGATAGGGAACAACAAAAATTCCAACAATATTCCACACAAATTATGTTGGAATTTTAATAATTCCATTCAGTATTGTGTGGCTAAATGGGATTTTGTAACCATTGCATAATTGTAAATGCTGCGTGTTGTTATAAACAATAATAAATCATGTTTAAATCAATTAAGGTTAGGGTTAATATCCTTTATAAAAGCATCGAATGGCAAGCTGCATTTGGTTAGTTTTTCTAAAAATGACCATAAAACAGAGAGAAAAGCACATTGAAATCCTCTCTCATCAAAAAATCCCTTGATGTATGAATGAAAAAATGTATCTGCTTGTTGAATGGTTTAACTGCGACTCAGTCTAGAAGATCCTTGATGGCTTTAACTGAACGTGACAGGCTGATGAACATGGCTATAACTAGACGGTACCTTCTCCAGCTCCTTGGGAATACGCATGCATGTATATACCCTCTCCCTGCGCTCTGTGTACTTTGCTTCATTGTGTTCCAGGAAGTACCCTCTGGTGAGTTCTGCACAAATGAAGCGTGTCAACGATGGATCTGGAACAACAACAGGTCCACAGTGTTACCACGAAGCCATTGTCTGTAACAGTAGCAGCTGTCAGCACAATAAGTTTCCAATACTATGATTGTTATTCTGGTAAAAAGTTCAGTGCCCGTTTTATCTGTGATCACTTCAATGCAAAGGCAAAATTTACCAAATTTAGACAGAAGAAAATTGGACAACATTAGATTTTCATTGATAAAAACTTTAAGGATTCATTTTATAATTCTAAAAGGGAAAAAAATGCTATACATTCTTTTAAACAGCAACCAGCAAGAATACTTCAACCTTTTATGTCTCAAAAGGGTAAAAGAAAAGTGATGAGCTTGTTTGGGTTTTTGATCTACATAATACTTTTGCATTATGGTGCTGCTAAGATGAATATTGTAAAAATGGAGCTGAAACATAATTTGCATGAAAGCACAGCTATCTTTTAAACGAATCCTCTTAATCCAACTCTAGATGAGCTTTAGTGTAGCATATCTATGGACATCTATTGTGACTTTAATGGCAAATAGCTTTTTATACAGCTAGGGAGATTATGTAACCTAGAATGACTTTTGTACTTTATACTTTTGTGTGTTTGTTTACCCGCATTTAGATGATAAAAGATGTAGTTAGCACCAGATAATACTGATTTATTTCACAACCAGCTTCCTGGAAGTTTTTGGTTTGGTCAAAGCTTCATGGTTTGTTATTTATAATGATGTTCTTGAGCTATAACCTAAAATTTAAGGGTGACAAGATAACCTCCCACCAGAAAGTGGGCCACCCTCCTCCTGCCGTTAGGTAGGTCTGCTCATTTTGACGTCCTACAAACATTTATCCTACCTGTCCAGACGGAAAGTAGCAATCTAGTTCTGAGTTTCTTTGCTTCCTTAAGACAGAACCCTGCTCAAAATGTTCTTGTTTTGCCTATTTGCTTTCTTTTTTCTTATGTGTGTGTGTGTGTGTGTGTGTGTGTGTGTGTGTGTGTGTGTGTGTGTGTGTGTGTGTGTGTGTGTGTGTGTGTGTGTGTGTGTGTGTGTTGAGGTTGGGGGGTGGGGTTAAATCTAGGAAAGGCAATGCATACTGAAGAATCCTTTTCTGTGCGCTATCACAGAGATGCTCAGCATCAGTATCCTTATGTGTTGACATTGGGATCGTACCCTAAAGAAAATATTTATAGTTCTAGGACCCATCATATCAATGTATCATAATAGTATACTATACAATCTTTCTTTCACTAACATCTACTGAACTACATTTGTTCTACACCATTCTACACATTCTGTGGATGTATTTCTTTTGGAAAGAAAGAAATAGTTTTGATGATCAAGATGGAACTACGATTTCTAATTAGCATATGAATGAAAAGAATCCAAATTTGTATTTTTAAAGGCAGCATTTCTTTTGAGCTTTTACATTATTCAAACTACTGTGAAGCCTTATGACTGTTTCTAATAATTGAATTTTGAAATATATGCATTTTTTCAAGTATGTGAACAAAAAGTGGAGCCTACTACATTATTATAACACTACAAACATAAAACCTGGAGCCCTTTTCTTTTGTCTACACAGTCATTTCCACTTATTGCCTACTGCAAATAAAGGAAGTAAAATTATTATTATTATATATATTTTTTTTATTAATTTGTAAGTTATCAGTAGGTAAAACACTGAGTTGAATTTTAGTCCAAATGGCTTTCTAGACGAGTTTAGTGTTTAAATAATAAGTATTCCTTTATGAAGAATATTCAATGCTCAGAATAATCCCTGAAAAAAAGAATTTAAGAAACTCAACTGACACAGCAAATGATCACTTAAATCAATAAATCAGCACTAAAAGTTGAAACTTTACACCAGATCTCAAGCAATTTAAAATGAGTAACTGTTCACTTTCCTTCAATGCTCTAAGTCTTTGATTTTCAAATAAAACTAGCAATTGCTTTCATAAGAAAAAAAAAAAAAAAGGAATTTTAACACAATCCAACAGTCCATTCCCTGTCCTCTGCATATCTGCTGAAATAATCTCATCAAGCGTTATTCATAACTGGCCTAAAGGAAGGGGATCACCTTAGGCTAGATTTTGAAGAGCTAATGCGTGCTGGCTTGTTAAAGAATGACCTCAGGTGCAATGGACACCATGACACAATCTCTTTTTTTCTTCCCCTTAACCTTCCTTTATTATAATCATGCAGAGCAATCTGAACACATTTCACAATATAATGTGAATAAATAGATACTTTAGATGCTGAAAATCTTAAATAAGAATTCTTACTAAAAACTATAGTAAGAAACACAACTAAACATATAAAAAAAAATGGTTTATTTAAACAAACAACATACAGTAGGACAAAGGAACAGCCACGAGGGTAAGCATAGGGACCTAAAATAATGTTAGCAAACTTTTGAAAATTGGGGGAAAAAACCAAACATAATGGAACTAAACAAATAATTTCACCAAATGCCTTAATTTACTCAGTTATTGCACCAGCTGTTGGTTTATTATTAGCTTGATAATTAGGCTAGCACTGACTGTAAACAAACAGAGCAGCTGTCATCAAACTGAGGGAAATAATTCAGATTCTGTACCTAATTAATTTCGGAATACCCTCCACTGTAAAAAACAAAATAAAAACAAATCGCTGTAATCGTGCAGTCGCCTCAAAACACACGCAAAAAAGGTTGAATTTGTTTAACGGTTCCAGTAGCGGCTTCAAAGACCTCCGACTTACCTGCTGAGGATTCCTGCTGCTCCCTCTTCGCCGCACTAATGTCGAAAAAGCCCAGCGTCTCTGGCAGCTCTGGGGTTATCCTGTTTTTTCCCGACCTGTTAAAATCCTCCCAAGGTCTTCTCTGTCTTTTTCTTAGCTCGGTTTCGCTCTCTTTCTCTTCTGACAGCTCGGTCCCCAACACGTCCGCCATCTTTACTGTGGTCAACGCACGACGTCATCAAACTGCGTCGCTCTACGACACGTCAACTGAGCGGCTTATACAAATAAATATACAAAATATACATATTTTAATATTTATGAAAGAAAAAAACGGATGTATGTATTTATGTATACACATATATACTTACATACTGCTTATTCATATTTTAATAGTCATATTTTGTAAATCCACCTTAAACTATATAAAAATTCTAAAACAAGCCAACGATGGTTTTATTATTATTATTTTTCAAACATATATCCTATCAATTAATAAAATGCCTAAAATAATACAATGGATAGATAAGATTATTTTTGCGTGATGTAAAATACCAAATAATAAAGGTTTATATTCAATAACAAAGACCATACAATTTTAAACATTTCAAGCTAGGGTATGTTAAAAAAAATATCTTAGGTTTAACCGTGTGTTACATCTAATTAAAGAACAGTTCTCAAGACTTTCCTCATGGGGGCGCCAAAGTTCTATCAAATATTTTCAAATTTAAAGTCTACCCAACAACAGCAATCTACAAAAGATAACTTTTACATCAAAGTGTTTTTGCAAGACTGGACATTGTAAATTATTCAGGTGTCTCATGCTCTTAAAATTGTACAAAATGATCATGTTAATTCTTAAAAATATGGAATCTAACTTGATGAGATCTACTCATGAGCCTGTTTCTGTTTTGTGCATATTTGTGGTTGTTTTCATGTTTTCATGGCTGTCTGTGCCACAAATGAATTGCAAAAATCACAAGTTAAGCAAATGAAAAGCTGTATTTAAAAAAAACAACAACAACAAATTAATACATAAAGAAAACTAAACAGCTGATATCTAATCAAAGGTTATCACTAAAAGCAAATTTATTGACAGTAAATAAAAGTAAGCTCGTGGTTTGATGTTCACTACTGAGAAAAACAAAACTCAAGCTAACAGTTGTTTTTTAACTTTTATTCAAGAGTAATATAGATCACAACTGTTAATTCATTTCAGTCAGCTTTTATCTCTTTATATGGTCAAGAATGCAAATCTTATGTCCAAATTTAGGGCTATAATAACAGTTTCATTTCTGTTGAAGCTTTTATAACGTAAACCAAGGAAGATAACTCAGTTGTCTAGTTTATCTAAATCTGCATTTATGTGAAATAAAGATTAAGACATTTAAGCATATGCTGTTTTGAAGACGGACGTGTCAAGCTTTTAACAGCACGTCTTTATGAAAAGATAACCTGCATAATGAGTAGTGTTGCGCCGATGCCAGTATTTTGCCCCGATACAGATACCTGGCTGTGCAGTATCGACTGATACCGATACCAGACTGATACCATCTGTTTGAAATTGATGTATGTGTGTATATATGAAGAACTGCACACTACTTGAATGTAAAATAATTGCCGTCATGGCTTGTCAAGCTGCTGCCTACCTTTGTGAAGCAGGAAAAAGAGACTAATACAAAATGAATCCAGTAGAATTTTTTATTGCCTACCTGGAATGGTTGACAATAGTTGCATAAACTTCTGGCTCTCAAAATAGTACCGGTGCCATATTTGTTGGTACTCGCCGATACCAATACGACAATTTTTGTGCTGGATCGGTGCAACATTAATAATGAGCCAACTAATCTGTTATATTTGATAAAGATCAGGGGAAAATACATACAAGACTCACCTGTTGGATTTAACCTCAAACCTTTTTATAGTCTCTAGTTGCCCGCTGAAAACTGATTTCATTTCTTTATAGTGTCACAACACATTCTGATGAAAAAAAAAGGAGAACTTATACCAAGGGTGGTCTGTGCAATGAATCCTACTTTTAAAGTGCCATCTATAGGTCCTTAGCCTGGTTTGTTACAAAGAGGTCAGAGAAGATAGTCTCAAAGAAAAAGAGAACTTTTGCAAACTCTCATGCAGTAATGCAGAAAAAGTCCTAGCAAGAGAGATAAAGTGATGAAATCTAATAAAAGTGTCAGCTTTTGGATGTGCACACCTAAGGAACCAGATTATATCCAGGTTTTGTTCCAATGTATATTCTTTATACACTGTTCAAAAAAATTAAGGGAACACTCAAATAACACTAGATCTAAATTAAAGAATTATTCTCATTGAGTACTTTTTTCTGTAAAAAGTTAAATTCTGCTGACAACAAAAATCATGCAAAAATTATCAATAGAATCAAATTTATTAATGGATGCCCGGATTTGGAGTTACACACAAAATTAAAGTTAGAAAGCACACTATAGGCTGATCAAACTTCAATTTGTCCTTCAAACAGGACAAAACAAGGCTTAGTATTGTGTGTGGCCTCCATGTGCCTGTACACTATACTGTAACCTCCCTACAATGCCTGGGCATGCTACTAATGAGGTGGGAGATGGTCTCCTGAGGAATACCCTCCAAGATCTGGATTAAATCATCCACCAACTCCTGTATAGTCTGTGGCGCAACATGATGTTGGTGAATGAAACGAGAAATGATGTCCCAGATGTGCTCAGTTGGATTCAGGTCTGTGGAATGGATGGGCAACTCCATAGCTTTATTGCCTTCATCTTACAGGAAGTGCTGATACACTTCAGCCACATAAGGTCTAGCATTGTCCTACTTTAGGAGGAATCCAGGGCCAATCGAACCAGCATATGGTCTCACAAGGTGTCTGAGGATCTTTATCTCGGTACCTAATGGCAGTTACACTACCTCTGGTGAGCACATGGAGGTCTGTGCAGCCCTCCAAAGAACTGTCACCCCACACCATTACTGACCCACTGCCAGATCGCTTATGCTGAAGGATTTTCCGGGCAGCCGATCGCTTGCCACGGTGTTCTGCAGACTCTGTCACATCCGTCACATGTCCTCAATGACAAACTGCTTTCATCTGTGAAGAACACAGGTCACCAGTGGCGAATTTGCTAATTTGTGTTGGGCTGTGAGTACAACCCCCATCTGTTAATGTCAGGTCCTCATACCATCCTCATGGAGTCGATTTCGAACCGTTAAGGTTAGGAACACGAGGAGCAATAGACATGCTCCTCGTGTTCCTCCTTGCAAAAAGTCAGAGGTACCAGTCCTGCTGCTGGGTTTTTGCCCTCCTACGGCCTCTTCCACATCGCCTGGTATCGTCCCCAGTTTCTGGACACTACAATGACAGACACAGCAAACCTTCTTGCAACAGCTCACATTGATGTGCCATCCTGGATGAGCTGCACTACCTGAGCCACTTGTGTGTGTTCTAGAGTCTGTCTCATGCTACCATGAGTGTGAAAGCACCACCAATGGTGAAAAATGACCAAAACATTAGCCAAAAAGCATAGGTTCTGAGAAGTGGTTTTTGGTCCCACCTGCAGAACCACCCCTTTATTAGTGTGTCTTGCTAATTGCAAATAATTTCTGTCTTTAGTTTATTCCATTTGCACAAAATCTTGTGGAACTGATTGTCAATCAGTGTTGCTTCCTAAGTGGACAGCTTGATTTCTCAAGAGTTTTTTTTATTTGAAGTCACATTGTGTTTTTTGAGCAGTGTATATTTTTTTGCTTTTTATCAATAATCTAATATGTCACAGAAAAACAATATGTTTTACCGCACTGAGCGGTAAAACATTGGTGAAAGTAAACTGAGGATAATTCCAAGTTAAGTTTTTGGACAGTAAAATAGCTACACCAAAAGAGCTGTAGAGCTGATTTCCAAATTAAAAGCCTTCTTAGTTCAACCCATCAAGCATCTGCTGTGAAAATAAATTAAATGTATATTTTAGAATATGGAGCAAAAATAATGACAGTCCTAAAAAATCCAAAAGAGCTTCCAGGGTATTAAATAGAGTCCTTTTAAATAAATGTTATAATTTTTAGAGTTAATGGTGTAGTAAAGCACATATGGCTCAACAAACAAACAGGAAAGGATCACCTCTTAACACCACATGCTTTAACCAAATAGAAAGTAGCTTTTTTACTGTAAGCACGGTTTATTGGCACACATAATGGTAAAGCATACATACCAGACATCAGATATGACACTGAACACCTCTGCTATATAATATACAAATGGTGTCTAATATTACTAGACTCATATTTCCAAATGTGTGAGCTTCCTTACAAATACACAAATAAATACCCATTAAATCCAATTGTATAAAGACATCTGTCATTGTCTTGCCAGTTTTTAAAGAAATCTCCAACAAAAAGAGTATATGCAAGGGTATCGATTCAATTGAAGATTAAAGAACGATTGTGAACACAAACACAGGGATCTTTAAGCATTTCTGTGGGGTGGATGAGATTTTAAGTCGTTTTTAAATGGTTCCTTCAGTCTGTCACAAGGTACTCATATAACCAAATATAATGACTTTGTGGTTTTTCATTAACTTTGCGGCTTTGGTTCTGTGCTAGCTAAAGAGGTCTTAACTTCCAATAAGAGAAGTTTTGGTTCAAAATAAAGTAAACCTGCATCCATCCGAACCACCCTACAGAAATAGAGACTGGTATAAAACAAAGGGAAAAAAAGCTGCCGTATTCAAACTGCTTTCAGTGGTCGATTTACAGTGGACAAAATAGATTCCACCTTTATTTACAAGCTACAAACCTTGTTACAGTGTTCCCAAACTGATAAACACAAACAAGAAAAAAAAACAACTAATGCGTTTCAAAGAGCACATTTAACAAACCAAATAAAAATTGTATAAAATCATGCAGGAGAAGGCTTTGTATCAGTTTGGGAGGTCGTTAAAGGGAAAGAAGTCCTACTTTCCAGGATTGATAATTAAAAAACAAAAAATAATAATAAAGCATCAACATGGGTCAGCAAAGTTCACAAAATGATTGGCAAAAATTACAATGTGACTTCAAAAGATTCAGAAAGAAGCCAAAAATACCAACAGACTACAAACACAATCAAAGTGGTTTGCATGAAATCACAATCCGTGACAACAGCGGTAACGATAAGAAAACTATTCCAGGACAGGATTTTTCCTCATTTGAAAAAGGATCCACTTTGTAGAGGACTTTTATTTCCTCTTAATTGGAAATGGA